GGTGCTTAGGTCCTCCAGCGATTCTGCCATAAGGACTATATCGTCGGTAAATAGAAGTTGAGTGATGTCCTCGCCATTGATGTTGATACCGTATCCTTTCCAGTCCAGAAGCTTGAAAACGTCTTCCAATGCAGCGGTGAAGAGTTTCGGGGATATAATATCACCCTGTCTTACACCTCTCTGCAATTGGATAGGTTTGGTACTCTGGTTCTGTACTCGGATAGCCATCGTAGCTCTACTGTACAAACACTTCAGCACCTCGATAATTTATAAAGATAAGTAATTTATATAATATTCTAATTTGGTTATTATCTTAATAAATATATAAAAGAAAATGATAAATATACATTACCGTTACCATTACCGTTACAGCCTATTAAACTCCACTGTTGAACATAGGCCTACCCCATCGATTGCCTCATATATTTGGATATTTGCCATAGTTGCCACGCTTGGCAAGCGGGTTTGTAACCGCAGTTTTTTATGTTTAATAGTTATTAGTAAGATGCTGCTGCCAATCCAGTGATGATTGTTTCCCTCACACATTAAATATAGTAAAGTAAGTAATACATAAATAAATCAAAACCCAACCAGGTATGAGCCATCGAAAGGGGACACCGAACAGCCGAGGTTTAGGGGGAAAGGAAAAAAAGTAAGTAGTTTGTAGTAGTTAATTTTTATTATACTGTGGGGTATTTATTTCGTTGGGTTGAATAAATATATGTAAGAAAATGATAAATAAACATTACATATACAGTAACATAAGTAAATAAATAATACATAAATCAATAAAAACCTAACCAGATGGAAGCTCTCGGCAGGGTAGACAAAACTTGCCGGTCGAAAGAGACGATGCGGGCGGTATCATGGAGCACCACCTTCTACATTTGAACTGTATTTTTATTGGCTCTAAGAGTCTGAAATCTGATATTTCTATAAAAATTCTAAAATATACCTTGTTTAAGTAAGTAAAAAAAAAAATGCATTTAGATGTTATTTGATAAGCCACGCAAAAAATTTTGCGAAAACAGTTTATTGTATGATTATTTCATTTGAGGATACGATAATTTACAAGTAAAAATACGAATACCAATTTCAATCACCTTTCCACTTTATTTCGAGCTAAATTAAAACATTGTGTTTCGTTAATTAATTGATGTGAATCGGGAACATTTACATATGATATTCTTTTGCAAGAAGAGAAATCGTTTGATAAATTTTAAATGGCATTTACGGATAAAGGTATAATAAATTTGTAACTTTGAGAAATCTTTTTCTTCATTGTCTCTGGTCGTCTTTTGACTGTGTTACAGAAGGAAAAGTGCTAGCAGTAAAACATTTGATTAAATAGGTGAATTAATAGAATAGGTAAAGTATCTATGAAGAGATTCTGCTCATATAACAGATTGAATCTGAAAGCGTTCACGAAATTTTACACCAAAACTTTCGCGTGGGGAGGATAGTTTTGTGTTGGGTCGAAGCAGGCCAGCGTGGAGTGAATGTAAACTTAAAGCAGGTTCATCTTGGCGTGTTTACAACTCTATTACAGGTGATGAATCTTGGACTTCTCAACACGATCCAGCAATAAAGCGGCAGTCGACGGTTTAGCAGCTTCAAAATGAACCGTCGCCTACAGAAGTGAGACGATCGAAAAGCAGGAAAGAGTTTTATCGCTAGTGTCTACACTTTGACGGGTTACCTGGTGTCCATTCCTTTACAAAAACGAAGTAGCATCAATGCCGATTAATAAACTGGTATATATATAATAAAAAACAATACTTGTCGGAAGAGTTCTCAGCTGTGAGTAACAAGTGATCAAACACAATGCTCCGTGGACTATTGCTCTACCATAACAACGCAACCGCAGACTCAACGTTCAAAACGAGGGACTTCTTGAACTAGAAAACTGCTTAAGCTTTAGGTCAACCTCCTTACCGTCTTATTTTGACACAATGTGGCTTTTTCTATTAAAATTAAAATAAGTTGAAAAGGAATATAGTTTCCATCCAGAAGAGGTGTTTTAGGTGAAGCATAAAAATTTGTATATAAATACTGGTGAAGAGTTTGTTGAAAGATTAAATAATGAAAGATTTAATAACAAACAACTTAAACATAAATTTAGTTTTAAGTTTCGCAAAACTTCCTGAATGGTTTACTTTCGAATATACATTACATTTTATAGATAATATTCCATTGCATGTGTTTTGCTCATAACATTCGTTAAAAAAACAATTGCAAAACCATAATAATGGTTTTATATATTTGATTGAAAATTTTGAATATTTTGTTATTTTATAAATTTGTAATTTATACATATGTAAATGGTACGGAAAAATATAGTGTAAGAATAAACGTATTTATTATAAAAAGGAGGAAAAGAACACAAAATGAGCTAGCCATGAATACCACGATGACCTTCAAAGAACGGTGGCTATAGATGCGTTGTCACCTATGATACATATACATATAGCACTTTTATTATTTAGTTGTCATAGCCTATGCTATGCGTTTCAAATTTTATAATATACAGCACTGATTCAACGCAACCTTAATTGCCGATTTACTATCTGTCTCATATGGCTCACGTGCACAATGAAATCAAATATTTTGCGAACACGTGAATTCCCCGTGAATCTTACTCTTAAACTCAGAACAGAGAAAAGGCCTGAGTCCAGATGTTTGACGTATATTTACTGTTACTTTGTGTTCCTTCAATATAAACATATCACGCATCTTTTTTATTTTTTAATCGAGGATAGATATGTGATAGAGTGGGATCTAAATATATAAAATCTCTCTAAATCGATCTAAATATCTATGCGATCTAGTGCTTGCGTCACTATAAACGGAACCTACACGGTTTGGTTTGGCGTCCATAAAGACAGGATTGTGTTATCCTCGTGGATGTTCAATCTGTTTATGGTTAGTAGGTTGAAAGTTTGAAGGTGTAATAATATGAATTGAGACTAGGTGAATAAGCTGTATACTACATTTACATGTCATGTTTTTGCTGTTGGCGGACTAGTTATAAATGATGGTACTAAGTAGGAGAAGTGAAAATGTACGCAAGTAAAATAAAAGTGATGATTTTTAAAATAGCAGAAAGTGTAACGATATGTGAAATAAGAACAGAAAGGGAGTTACTTGAGCAATTGGATGAGTATGTGTATTTAGGATAGGTGTTTAGCAGGGACGAAAGAATGCAAGACGCAACGTAAAGGTTCTTTAATCTATTGTGGGAAGTCAGAATGTGTCAAATAAAAATGCTGTTTTAATCCCTATATTAAGGTATGATAGTAAACGTTGGGTGTGACAGAAAAAGCGCGAAGTTGTATAAATGGAAGGAGTATGTTAGGGGTGAATATACGAATGTCAGCATGAGAAATTATGTGATAAGCTACAAGAATTTTAGTTTTAGATATTGGTTTGCAAATACATATTGTTATCAGTATTAAGAAAGTCATGCATCAGTGGGTGGAAACGTAGAAAGAATCAAATGAAAATTTATCCTGAAAAAGTGAGTGGCAGAGTCGCTAAAGGACGCCCTTAACGGTGGACCAAATTGGCGATATATTGAAAGCGAAAATAGGCCAAGTATAGAGTGCCCTTAACAGACGAGCATGTATGCGTAGATATTTAAATGTTAAAGAAGCGAGAATGCCAAATGAAATTCCGTATACATATCTGGGTGACAGGCGTAAGAGTTTTTTTTTAATGTTGATGAGAATGGGCCACAGTATCCACTTACAATCAGGTGAACTATTTACTCGTTTGTCTTTCTAATTCTATATAAACATAACATGTCATAATGTCAGCGGAAATTGAGTTTTGATATTAATAAACTTATTTTAGAACAGTTTTATCAAGTCCAGATGAATAGCTCGGTCGAGGTCGGTATTACACATAATACAAACACATACAAATTTACTTCAGAAACATAACAATTAATAGATATTTAGTTCAATGAAGGATAGATATCCTTAATTAAATAAAATATCTCAGGTGGTAGCTTTGGGCTGGCAAGCATAGTGTTTGACAACCACTATTACGACGATGGTGTGAAAACCCGGTATAATATGTAAGGGGTAGTCTACTCAGTAGATGGATATTGGACTTAGGATCATTCTTGTGATAATCTTTGGAGCAGACGTATGTTGAACAGTAAGCATATAAAGTGGTCAATTAATTGCAATAAATTTTCTTTAAAATTGGATTTAAATTTGGATAAAATAGACATACCACAATAACAGTGGTAGAGCCACGTGGCGGCTTTTGCTGTCGCACGGATGGGCAGGCTCGAACCGGGGTGGTACCACGACTTCACAGAAAACCAGCGTGAAGTAGAGGTTTACCTCTGCGTTTCGCTTGGTGAGTGCAGGTGGTCGAAGCTCCTTTTTACTGGAAATGAGGCATTCCATCTTAGTCCTCACGGGTGACAACGCATCTGCATTTTGATTTGTAATAGAGGATAGATGTCTATGGGCCTCAGCAACCACTTACCATCAGGTGGACTGTGTGCTCGTTTGTCACCATTATCCTATAAAAAAAAAGAAACATTTTTGTAATGAATTTACTGGTATATTGCTAATGTACAATTAAATGTCTTTATATTATATAGATTAAACAACAAAATTTTGTCACGTGTCTGAGTTTCGAGTACAAAGTAACGAAAGAAGTTTAAAATATATTACGTACTCTGCTGGCATATTTGTATTTTAAGAGTTGTGATTTAATTCCGAATGTATGAGTACGTTAATTTAAAAGCCCTCCTCTATCACAAGTCTGGCAGATATTGGAGCATCCTTAAAGGACGAAAAAAGAGAAAGCTATACGTATTATCTCTGTTTGTTATTAGTCTACGCGCGAGGATACTCGCGGGGTATGTACAGGAGGGGAAGCCGGCACGAGACGGACGCGGGCAAACCAGTCGTGCGCGTTCTGTCGCGGGTGGATTACGTGTGTTGTTCTAAATAATTCGATCGGCGTCACATGTAAGCACGATGGATGTTCTTCCTAGCGGTAATCTATTCCGCGAGTTGCAAGACGTGACGGACACCGGCTACTTCGAATGGAAGCTGTCCTTGGAAGACTACTGGCAACAGGTAAGTCTTGCTGCGCGATGACTTTACCACTATGGCATGCAATGCAAGCGAACAAGCTGGCGCATTATTGTTTAAAAATTTCGAGACTAACGTTGGGTGTCGTCGCGCTTGCGTGAACCTTCGCGGTCGATTTTCAAGGAATCTTCAACCTCAACCGACGATGTTCTTAACATCTGTTACGAACTTTGTGATAGCTAGGAAGTATTCGACAATTTCTAATTGAAGGTTGTCGCTGTGCGCTGTACATCGCGCGATCCACTAGTTCAGATCGTGCTTACGCCATAACTAAAAATATCCTAGCAATGTTTAAAGAGGTTCGGGTTTACGGTTTATCGTGTTAACCGAGTTTCTATACATAACAGTGTTCAGTCTTCAACTTTGTTTCTAATAGGTAACTAGTTTAGTATTATTTTAAAACAATCGTCGAAACCTAATTTTACGTGACTTTAACATTGAAAACAAACTTTGTGATACTACGTTTACGCTACGATCTTTATATTTATAAGTCATAGTTTTCGATAAACAAATCTACAATTATATTTATATTTATAATATAATTACAGATCACAGAGAGAATTATTAATTAAATAAAAAATATATATATCGCCGGAAAAGTGAAATTGAGAGACCCTGAAGATTTCTATGCTGCAGATTAATCTCCGCTCCCTAAACTACCAACCCAAACCCAAACAGTTAAAAAATTGTAAGATACTTTTAAAGAATAATTGACACAAAAAAAATCTGCAGAAACCGGTATATCTTAAGTAGGATGTATAGTCCGGAAGTATTTACCGCACTAAATTATTTAGCTTTTAAAATTAAGACAGAAGTCAAAAATAAATGACCATATAAATGCAAGTTTAGTATCATAATTTAAAATTAATTTGTGCATTGGTGTATATGAAAGTGATTCCACTATTTATTTGAGGTCCGTTAATCTCTATAACGTCTTTAAATCTTTAATTTTCAATAAACTTCGGGTACGGAATAGAATTTAAGTACCTACCTACTTACGGATTAAGTGACTGTTTTTCGATATAGTAATTTTATATTATGTATGTACATTTAACCATGTAATAATGTAACTGTCTTAAATCAATTCTAGTATGAAATTGCACCTGTTTTTTAACCTCAATAATATACCAATGTACCATGCAATCGTATAATACTATGTACAATGAACACATCTGAATACTACTAGACTTGTTTAATGAGCGGACGTTTGAAAATCGGCAGGACGACAGCGTTGGAATATTTCCACAATGATTACATTTAGGTAAGAAGGATATGAATATTATTTATACGAAACGTTTAAAAGATACTGATTATCAACTCAGATAAAACCGACGTGTGTATCTGCGATTATCGATTGTGCGCTGAGTTCTAATCAATAAACTTAGTAAACCCTGAATCAGTGATTATTTTCTATGTGTTTGCTTAGCTTGCTAATAAGTTTGTACCTATATGTTTATTGTGTTTCTTCTTTTCTTTGAAATTATACTTTTGGGTTTTAATGATTTGTTACTTAATTTAATTTAGGTACCTAAAGCGATGCCATGGAATCCATCACGGAACGAACATATTATCAAATGCATTGATGGAATAAAGATACTGTATGTTTTGCGCGATGCACAGCGGCTTACCGTGGTAAGCTAAAGGGTTAAGCTCTCCCCGTAAAACACACAGTAAACACGCCCGGGTTCGAGCCCTGCCGGTACCAAATTTAATTTATAATAAATATTACACTTGTGATTTCTGTCATATGGTGAAATTTCATGTTCATTTTTGGGATTTGGATATACACGTGTATTTGTTTAACTAATGTTTATTTCTCGCTTCGCTGAATCTCTCTTGTGGCTCTTATTAGTAAAACAAGTACCTACCTACACGTGTAGCGTACAATTATACGTGGTAGAGCCACGCTGCAGCTATATTACGTTACATTGTAGCACGAATGGGTCGCCTCGACCATGGTAGGACCACACACTCACAGAATACCAGTGTAAAATAGCAGCTTAAGGCTGCTGTGTTTCGTATAGTGAGTGTAGAGAACCGGTGCCCATGTTTACTGGAAACGAGACATTCCATCTTAGTCCTCGGGGTGATAACGCATCTGCATTTTGATTCTTAATTGACGATAAATGTAGATGTCTATGGGACACAGCATCCATTTACCATCATGGACTGTGTTCGTTTGTCACCCTTATTCTATAAAATATAGTGTATATCCAAATCACAAAAATAAATTAATTATAAGTAAACACACGTTGTAAGACAGGGTGACGTTATATCCCCGAATCTCTTCACCGCTGCATTAGGAACTGAACGGTATTAACATCAATGGCGAGTACTTCACTCATCTACGATTTGCTGACGATATAGTCCTTATGGCAGAATCGATGGAGGACCTAAGCACTATGCTCAATGACCTCAATAGTGTCTCCTAACGGATAGGTCTTAAGATGACCATGGACAAAACAAAAGTCATGTGTAACGTTTATGTCACACCTATGCAGGTAGTTGTTGGGAGCACTAAGCTTGAAGTTGTTGACGAGTATGTTTACCAGAGGCAAATAGACCGAGTTGGTAAGCCTAAGACATATCTTCTCGTCAGGCTACCTCAAACAACAACTAGTTTTCTCTGCGTGATAGACTTAAAAACGAGGACATCCGCAGTAGAACCAGAGTACCCGACCGACGCAGCCCAACGGATTAGTAAGCTGTAGTGGCGGCTATATAGCTCGAAGAACCGACAGTCGATGGGAAGGAAAGGTTGTCGAGTGGTAGCTTCGTACCGGCAGGCGAAGTGTAGAGCGTCTCCCCACTAGATGGAGTGACGATCTGGTAAGACATGCAGGAAGTCGATGGATGCAGGCGATTCTGTACCGTGTTTTGTGGCATTGCTTGGGGAGGCCTTGATCAGCAGTGGACATGTGAAGGACTGTAATGATGATGACGATGAACTCAACACATACAAAATGTGTACGCTTAATTACGGTTTGAGCATTTCACTGACTTTCATACTTTACATATTTATTAATTTTTTTGTTATTTATTCTTAAATTATTCTAAGTTTTAAATTAAAAAAGAAAAAATAAATTAAAACCTGATCTAAAAATAGTAAAGGTAAGTGTGCATATTTTTGTATTCAACAGGCAACTCGCTGCATCTCTCTTTAAATTTAAATATGTTGTGGTTATCAGGGTGAGCAAGTGGACAGTCAGTGGACAGGTATGTGTACCAAGCATTCCGTCCAGATAACCCGGGCTCGAAACAACGATTAAAGTTAATTCGTGACAATTAGGTACGCCATGTTCGTTACACGGCTAGAGGTCGTCGCTTTTGGGCGACTTGGCCACCCACGCGTATCTTAGAACAACAGACACGGAGACAAAAGTACTTCGACTTATTGTCTCGGTAATGGGTGACCGCATCTGTTTCTTAAAATATTAAATAAATTGACTATATTTTAGATAGTTCGATCAGATTAATGTTGCCAATATTTATTTTTTTGTTTATTTCTCATATATTTAATAAAATAAACATTTATAAATATTTTTCTCTATTATTGACTATATTAGAATAAAACTATTTTTTACGGATTTTATCGCGTTTAATTTACTATTTTAATTCCCGACGTTTCGGGTGCTTTACTCGTACAGCAACCCATGGTCACGAAGGGGGGGACTGAGATGTTTGACGTCCCGATGTCACAGCCCGGCTACGTTCAGTTTTTTAATATTAATGTTTGGTTCAATTTACGCAGAATGAACTTACAGTATATTGAAGTCCTGCAGTGATATGCTTGGGTTTGGATTTAATTTTATTAATTAAATCCAAACGAACGTCAAATTTACAGAAACGGCTCAAAGTGTGCTCCGCCTTGCTCAATACATAACCGCGCGAATTGATGCGAAAACCGATCTAACACGCTTTTCCATCTCGGCAACCGTTGGGCAATTGGAGAAATACATTCTGTCCTTCACATAACCCCACAAAAAGAAGTCCTAGGGTGTGAGAGACGGAGAACGAGTAGGCCATAGCACCGGTCCCATCCTTGTATTGAGGTAGCAAACATTTATGAATGAAAAATAGAAAAACTATTAAAGTAGACTATTATTACGTAAAATAGGTACGTAGGCCTTTCTGTTAAATAATCTGGTTCCCTGACATGACAGCTTGCTAGGGTTGACAACATTTTTGGCTTTGATAATTAATTATAATTTTTTACGGGGTATTTTGTAACAAGTTGTATATTCACGTATGAGTGAATGTAATAATATTCAGTAAAGTTTAATAAAATAACCAACTTTAGTACTTCTCCAGATTTTCATATCTTCATTGAAATTTAAAAATAGAAGAAACGTACATCAAACATAATGTACCAGGATATTATATTACAACCCTTTAGCGTTATACATAAAGTGAAGGTTATATAATTAATACACTACATTCATCAATTTGCGTTTGAAATTTCAAATCAGCTTGGCACTAGGTGTATTGTCAATGTTATTCAAAAATTTGATATTTGATTTAGGTATATGCAGCGTGGAAACTTTTAGTTCCTTGACTACAATGTAATAAATCACATTAGGAACTACATTGTATTGGATGCATTACGAACTGTGGACATTTGAAATACTTTTTGAGCGTAAGGTCAATGAAAAACTTTTTGCGCTAAGAGCGATACGGCAGCTTGAACAAGCAGCTTAATTAGTGAGACATACTAATGTAGCTAACATAGAGCAACTACGAAGACCCCGAGTTGAGAGGTCGAATGACGACTTAAATATTTAAAGGTCTTAAAATGAATACAGTCTCACATGTGGTCCAGTGGAAAAATGTAGGTAACTATCTAATTTGTTTAATTACCAAAAACTCTTTTAATATCGGATTTAATGACGACCGAAGACTGCTTAGTTTTGATAAATAACATATAGTATATTTATCGTATATTGGTCATAAATATTTTGCGCTCCACTTCCCTAGATATGTATGTA